TTGAAGGAACTGTTTGTTTAATCCAGAAGGAAGAAGTTGGGGATAAGAGACATGAAAGCAACATTTTACATATTGGAAAACTGTTATAAGGAAGATGGTATTCTATTGCTCACCTTGAACAGTTGGCATTAGGCAAGAATTAATCAGGTCAGTGAAGCACAAAAGATTTAGGTTGGATTTGACGGAGGAAAAAAAATGTCTGTGGCCCCTGGCATACATTCATTTAGAGGTGCCATGGGATCTGATCCCCAATTTCAGCAATGACACTTCCTGTCATACATGGCAGATAGCACAATTTTGGGATTAGGGATTAAATTCCAGTTGTGCCTTTTCTACTTGGGAGTACAGGGCGAACCTGAGATTTTGATCCCAGGCTCTCCCTGCACTGGAAAATTGAAAGTCAGGTACCCATAGCCTGGCATGCACCCTGCATTAGCGTACTGTCATTCCGGGCCCATGGCTGTTTTGGGGCCAGTTTGAAATTCCCAGGCTGTCCTGGGGCTGGGACCAGCAATCCACTCATTGTCAGCACAGGCCCTGGAACAGCCCCAGACATGCCACATGTTCAGTTTAAGGATCTATACAAACCAGCTCTAAAAACATTCTACATTCTATATGTGGAACATTTTTATGCAGGTTTGCCATTTCATGGCAACTTAAATTGGGTTTACATGTAGCAGCCTTGCCATTTATGTCATGGTTAACACGTTCATTTCAGCATAAATACAATGTGTAGTGGGTCCCTCTGACTTCTCTGAAAATAACACCCCTAGCAGATGTGCAGTAGAAGACATGATAAGATCTGATGGGTGGTCCCAACAGTTGCACTTCCTGCCATGCCACATATGCCATTTGAGCCACCCCCCCATGATCCCTGGAGCCAGCCAACAATCAGTTGATCATCGACAGCTTGGGACTGCCCTCAAGTTTGAGTCCAGGGCAGTCCCAATCTGTAGTTGCCTGGCAGGGATCTCCCCAGGAGTATCAACCCTGGGACAGTCCCTGCTAGGTGACAATCAGCTGATCAGGAAAGTCCCAGAGTTTGAGCTGTGATGCTGCCATAATCTCCCATTAGTTGTCAGGGACCCCCCTGGGATTCCAGTCCCAGGGCAGTCCATGTGAGCTGATGATAGGAGATCAGGATGGTTCTGGGGCTCAGTCCCCTGACCCATCCCTATCTGCCATCAGCTTGTAGGGACTACCCAAGAGCTCAAGCCCCAGAGCAGTCCCTATCAGCTGGCAGTGGCCACCTGAGGGCTCAAGTCCTGGGAGGTCCCTGCCAACTGCCAGTTTGCTGATTGGGACAACCCTGAGGTTTGAGTCCCAGGGCAATCCAATCAGTCATCATCAGGCAGGGACTGCCCTGAGGTCTAAAAAAATCAGATTAAGCCTAGTCAAAAAGAGAATATGTGACTAAGGAAGAATTTGTATTTGTCTTTATATTTGTATTCTCTTGTATTCTGAGATATCAAGCTAATTGCCGAGTCATCCTTCCTCAGACTAAGATTCATCTTCATGGCCCATCCTCAAGGCACAGAACTCTTCACTGAAATCTTGTACAGATTAAATAATTTCCACCAATTTATTTGTGTGAGACATTTTAAAATGGTTTGTTTCTTGTGGCTAGTCCTACCTTTAAAATAATAGGTAGCAATAAACATTCAGAAATTGAATGTCGTTTACCACTACATTTCATTAACAAACAATTATTTTGTTCATTTGGCTATGTCTGCATTGTAAATTTACCATGTTCAGCAGTGGCACCTTCAAACATACTGTGCTGCTATGTGCAAGTGGCCTCCTAAATTGGAAACAAGCTAACCATGTCTGCACAATGTTGTGGACAGACTACTCAGTGGGAGGGAGACTCATTGGCACAGTCTCTTAGCAGTGCTGACTAGTAGGGCTGTGCGAAGTTTTGGTCACTGATTCAATTTGGCAGAGATTTGGCCAGATTCGGTGGCTGAATCTCCATATCTGAATCGAATCAGGAGACACTTTAATCTCTCTGAATCAAATGAGAACCCTCCAAATTGATTCCAAGAGATTCGGAAAGATTTGATGATTTGGACACAGACACGCCTTTAAATGTTTTTTCTGCATACCTCAAGGTACCAGGTGACTCATGAATGCTGAGATGCTGGAGTGAATGGAGCATCCCATGGGAGTGCAGGGGGGGTCCCCAGCATGCTTCGCAGCGGACCTGAAAGTGGACCAGAAGCACTTCCAGTTCACTTCTGGGTCCACTGGGGAGCACATGAGGGCCTGCCCCCTGGCTCGGCAACTGGTGCCTCCTGGGTCTGGGGTGGGGGGGCACCTGGGGTCCTACCACAGCTGATCACTGAACCAGGGAGGCACGGAAGGGGTGGTCCCCTGCACGCTCAGTGCTGGACCTGGAAGTGGTCTGAAAGTACTTCCAGTCCACTTCCAGGTTTGCCACCGAGCATGAAAGACCACCCCCCCCCGCATTCCTGTGGGATGCTTCATCCCCTCCACCATCACAGTGTTCACAAAGCTGAGCCTGGTACCTCAAGGTATGTAGAAAAAACATTTAAAGCTGTGTCTATGGCTGAATTGCTGATTCTCTGAATCAGCATCGAATCTTCAGATTTGGATTTGGCCAAATCGAATTGGGACAGTGATCTGAATCAACAGTTCCCCGATTCAGGCCAAACTCGAATCGAATACAGCCCATTTTGCACACCCTTACTGACTAGCCCACTTATGGTGCTATACAAATGTGGCTGTGGTACTTCCAGCCTGGGAGGCTGCATACTGGGAGCAGGGGAGCATGCTGGAGGCAGCTGCTGCTAAGAAGAATGTACTATGTAGACAAGGCATTTGTTGTACAGACCAAACTCCTTCTATTAAAGTCAGTAGCAACTATTGGCTTCAGATATAACAATATTAGATCCTAAATTATGCTTTCTAAATGTTAAGAGTCTCAGAGTTTATTTTTCTTTTTTTCTACTAAATCTGTTTAAGGTTTGTTTGTTGTTTTATTTGTTGTTTTGCTTTGCTTTTCAGTGCTAATAGAATGGATTTCTTCTAGAATGCAAATAGGAGATGCATTCTGGGAAAGCTGTTGAAGTTATTAGACCCAAACTAAACTCTTGAAATTGCATTTCAACAAATGGTATCTGAATTCTGCTATGTAATGAACTAGCGTCTTTGCCAATCCCCAATTTTTTATTCCCTCATTTGCTTCAACCCCAGCTACTAAAGAGATTAGCCTTGTATCAAGCACTCTTGGTAAACACATGGGACAGAATTTGTTTCTAGTATATGTTGATCTCAATTTATCATCTTAAAAAAACGCATGTAATATGAGGTACCAAAACACATACAAAGAGCATACTCCGTAGTGGTCTTTACATATTTATAGAATACTTCATTATCATATTTTTACTTTGTCTTATGACAAGAGAACAGAAATACTGCTTAGTTATTGTTGCAGTAGAAAACAGATAGGCCTGAATGTGTCAAAATCCAAAAAAGCCACATCAATCTTTAAAGTAATATTTATAGCAAGGACTTTTATGTTACAGCTGGAGAAGTCGGAAGGATTCTGATATGGTGCGCAGCCCTTAGATGTTTTAGCTAAACTTTAATTTGTTTCAGTTCTGTTTTCTGAAAAGGAATATGTAATTCTGTAACTGCAATAAACTAGTCAAAAACAGGTATGCAGATTTGCGTGAGCAAATTTGGTAGTTGTCAGGAGGAAGAAATAAATCTCTATCACAATGCAGTGTGGAGTCTGAAACTATTTTCAAAATAATATTGTAAGGGAACAGCTTGAGTATTTATTGGGCGGAAGCATTAGCTTTTTTTAAAATGACTGGTTTGTATGCCACCGGACAGCAGTAAATCAGTAGATACCGTATAGTATTCTGTCCCAGATGCTCAGGAGCTCTGCCTGGCATACTTTGAACCCTAAAGTATATTTAAAACACCTTTGTATTTCTTCAGCCTCCAAGGAAGCTGGAGATCTAGTTTGCATCCTGGCAGAAATTAAAGTAGACTCAGGGCTCCTCCATACTGTGCTTGCTTATATAATACTAGGACCATCACACCAGCCAAGGCTTGGCCTTTTTTTGCCTCTTGCACCATGACACTGGTAGAAACTTGGGAAAGGTGTAGCCTAAGTTAATTGCTACCATTTCAGTAGAGGCTTCCCTTGTGACTGCAAGTATTTTGTGTAGATCTGATGTATTTTCACCCATCTATAAAATGGAATTGTAGCATACCCTTATTTACAGGGATGTTGTAAGAAATTCATTACTGTGAAGCACTCAGTTACTTTAATAACAAAAATTGTACACCTTAGACTAGGCATGCCCAACTTGCAGCCTACAGGCCACACTTAGCCTATGGAGCCATGGCCTCTGGCCCACAGTGCTCCCTACAGGTTGGGAAATTTGGTGGCAGGAAAACAGAAGCTAAAGTACTCCACTGTCCTCCCCTCCTCCCACTGCCAAATTTGCAAGCCCTGCATGGCTGCATCAAGGCCAACCCCACCTACCCTGAACACCAAATCAAGCCCACAAGCTGCATCTGGCCTGCAGATGGATCTGGCATTGCCCATCCAGCCCATGGGGCTAAAAGGTTGGGTACCACTGCCTTAGATAATGAACTACCCAAGTTTTTCTCTATTATCAAATGAACAGAAAGCAAAATACATCTGCAGTTTGTGATACTATTGTAGCCTTCTACACATTATTTCCCTAGCAATAGTGCTGACTACAATCTGGCGGTAAATTGCTAAGAGAGCAATTTGTCTCTTTTCATGGTTGTCCTGCCTGAAATGCTGAGAACAGAGATTTTCCACTTAGGCCAGATACCTGAATACAAAGCCAGGTAGTGGATTCTTACTCTGATTGCAATATGGTCTGTAACTAGATTAGGAAGAAAAAGAGAGAACACTGGAAACATGTTGAACTTATGGTATTTATGATGGGAGTCTCCTGATAATAATGAAAAATTGTTTTCCTGTTTTACAGCTTGCAGGCCAGGATTCTATAAAGCTTTTGCTGGGAATATAAAGTGTTCCAAGTGCCCTCCACACAGTTTAACCTATGTAGAAGCAACTTCTGTCTGTCAGTGTGAAAAAGGTTACTTCAGAGCTGAGAAAGACCCACCAACTATGGCATGTACCCGTAAGTCTAATCAATATCAGCATTTGAAATTCCATTCTTCTGTGTCCTATTTACTTTCACTTAACAAAGGTGACATCTCAGCATGCAAATGTTGTGACTCATTCCTCTGAAAGGAAACAGAGAGAAGATGTTTTCCATAATCAAAATTTGAACATCCAGTTTGTTTAGTCCTCAGGTTCCTAAAAATAATTGAAAAATTCTCCATTTTAAAGACCTGGGGTTTTTAATTTATTTTGAGACTTGAGAATTATCTAATTGCCTCACACAGATAACAGGGTTGAAGTCTGAGCACTAATATACATTTCACATATGGAAAATAACACTGTACAAAGCCCTTCCAAACACTGAGGAGTCACATAAAGTTGACAGGGAAAAATATTACTTACTCCATTATTTCCTCCGGCTTAAATAAAAATTATATCTATGAAACAAACATCATCCAGCATATTGGAATAAAAGCTCAACTATCCAAAGGGCACAAAAATTATGGAAAAAAAAAAAGAAAGAAAAATGCATTCAGTCAGACACAGGTGTAATTGAACCCTCTAGCATTTCCACTTCTTTCAGAAGGCAACTCTTTTTTATCTAGTTTTGATTATGAAAATTATTTTGCCTTTTTAAAATTTGAGAGAGGCATTTTTGTAATCTTTGATTAATCTAAATTTGTCATGAAACAAAACAAATGCATAAAAACGTAAGGGCAGAATTTCTGTCTGGAGAGAGGCATTTTTCTTCTTACTTGGATCAATTTGCTTAGATCTAGAAGCAATGCAATAATATAAATTTTCTTGTCAGTTAATAAAATAGTTCCCCTGGATTTTCATCTGTGGTTCATTATTCACTGGTGTTAATTTGTTGATCCCAAGTAACAATATCCGTTCTATTTTAGAGCATGCAATCAGCAATGGGAGCAATTAAAGATTAGCATATGAATTATGTTATTTAAATATAAAATATTATTACTTTGTTTAATGAATGTTATTACTTTAATTATTACTAGACTTTGCAAAATTTTCTAAGGTCTCTAGTTGTCTGTGTACTGTCTCCATTTTCTCTGTTTAATACTCTGGTAAGGATTATATTCTTTCAAATTGTTTTTGTGCTGCATTCAAGTTACCACTTAGGCTGTTCCAAAAATTCAACTTTCAACATTAACTATGCAAAGCACCCAAGGGCTACAACCACAAAAGGAGCTGAGGACTGCACGGCTTAGTCCTGAGATTGCTACTAAGAGACGAGTACTGTCCAGTCACTCATGCTCTGCACACTTCGCTGGCAAAAGTGTGGCCATTTTTCACTGTGTGCCCTGGGGTGTTCTCTGGACCACATTTTCATGCCATTTTCATTGCATGTTCTTGGCCCACATGGAAACAAGTGAGTAGAGGTCACTACCATCTTGGCAGTTGTTCCGGGATCACTGGAGAGGTGGTAAGGATTTTCTAGGCTAGCCCTTTCTTCTAAAATATGGTGAAGAGAAAGTGATGGTTTCCCTTGCAACTCAAGAACCTAAAACAATCACCTTGTATGCAGGGAACACATGTTCAAACCTTTCCTATAATGGGAAAAGTCTGATGGGACTTGTATTCACATCTCTCACATACCAGGAGAATGTTTTAGCCACCTGGCTATATGGTATTCTGGGGTGGGCTCTGACAGCCTCCCAGTTCTACTTCGCACAGCACACACATTCATTTGAGCAGGTACTGGAACTCAGGTTTTCCCTAGGTAAATGTCCTATGCTACTGGGCTTTGAAGGCCCCTTCTCGTGCCTCTTGTCCATCCAAATGGAATGCCTGGTTTCTGAATCCTAGTAATACTTCTTCGTGAGCAAGGCACATAGTTGCTTAGCATTGTCAGGACTTAGCAGAAGATTTAGGTGCGTAGGTGTTTTTACTGTGGCAGGTGAACATGGGTTTTGAAGATCTAAATTTTAGATGTAGACATCTAGCATACCAAGCAGGCACCTTAGTCCTCTTGTGGTTATAATGACGAATGATTAAAGACACAGTTCCAGTGCTGGTTTGCAAAATCCAAATAAGACACCTTTGGAATATTGTGAAATAGTCATTTCCATATAAAATGAACTCAGTTAAACATGTTGAGCAGGGAGACACAGCTACTTGAGTTTGGGATAACGGGACCATATCATATGTGGATCTATTGCATTGAGAACAAGTATGTTAAGGTAGAAATTAATTAAAATAGGACAAGGATAATGTGAAGAAAGGGGCAAATGTATTGAAAGGATGCACTTTGATATAATCTGCATAGAAAAAAGGGCCAGAGTTAAAGAGCATTGACAGAGTCCTGAACATCATGGTAATGGAAAAAAAGCATCTTTGGTTACATGCTTGATATGCCAGCATGATTGGTTATATGCTTGATTTTCTAGCCTAGCACTATGCCAGGTGATCAAGAAAAATGTTGTTTAACTATAATAAGTGAAACATTGAGGTGAAAAGATGGAGAGTCAGAGATTGAAAGAGAATGCTGTTTGCTTACATAATGACAAATTCAGTTTTGTATTGTGAGTATATGTTTCCATATTATTTACAGTCTATCCATTTTCCCTCCTTTCTATTATATTTCTTCTGTGAAAAGTGACTCTGAGCTCCATGGCTTTTTTCAGGACTGTAATAGGAAGCCAGGGGCTCTATCCTATTACTATAAGATGAAGACTATAACTGATAAGATGTACAGGCAAGAGTAGGCAGCTGAACCTGGGCTAGCTTCAGGAGAAGAGGTAGCTAGGGAGCTAAAGGGCTGCAAATAACTACCTGGTAGCTGGCTTCAGAGTAGTAGGGCAATAAGATAGAGCTCCAGGTAGTTAGAACAGAAATAATTCCAGCTGTGCCAGGAGATCAGCAGCAAGCTGCTCAGTAGGCCTAGGGAGCATACCTGCACCTGGTTAAGGGAACACCTAACAGAAAAGGAGGAGCTCAGGTAATATAAGCCTGGATACCTGAGGTGGAGGGACTACTGGAGCCCTGGACTCCTTGCAGAGGGAAGAGCTCCTGCAGCCTAAGCTGTGAGGGAGTGAAAGCTGAAGCCCTGGAGGTACCCCATGGGCTAGGACAGTCAATGAGAGGGGAGGGGGCTTCTCAGCCATGTGATGACCCAGAAGGGCTTTGAGAGTTTTATTTGAAGCAGGTTGCTGGCATTTTGTTTCAGGTTTATACCGGAGGAATAGATTGTGGTTGTGGGGGTGACTAGGAGGCCGTGGAGGAATGCCTGAGAGGCACTCAGGATTTGGAGCTCTGCAAGGGGCAGTAATGCAAGAGCCTGGGCCAAATCTGAGAGGGCTAAAGGCATTGCCAGTGAAGATGGAACCTGACATCAGGAAGGGGCCAGAGGCCAACGGGTGGGCTGAGGCCAAGATGGTCAAAGCCTGATCCCCAAGAGAGGGAGAGACAGAAGCAGGCTGCAACCAAGAGGGCCATGGCCTGAGCCCTGGGAAGAGAAGAGAAGCTGGGTCAGAGTAAGTGGGCCCAGGCTAGAGGCATACAACAAAAGTAATAGGTCATAATAGGACTAAGGTGAAGAGGGCTGAAGCCTGTAGAGGAAGGTAGATGATGACAGTGACACCAGCGAGGCATGGCTATGGGGGAGGCTGGAAGCCACAATTAGAGCCCATAGGCTCATGAGCTGTGATCATAGAGTCTGGGTAGTGCCAGCGGGGCATGATGGGACATGTGAGCTGCCCATAGGGAACAGGCAAGCTTCTATTAGGAGACGAAGGGTCCAGAGACCAGAGTTTGAGTCAGGCACCAGGGAGATCACTCCAGGACTCGAGGGCAGTCTCCCAATTAATATAGATAGGACTTCAAGGTGTAACAGGTGAGATAAAAAGTAGGGAGTATACAGAGGACCTGGAGTGCAGGCCAGATTAGGGTGGCTCCCAGAGGATGCCATGGCTGCCCTCAGGGCTTGTCTTGTCACAAGGACTTAACTCTGAGTCCAGCTACACATAATCATTGAAGAAAGAGAGGAATATAAGGGCACCTTTATGCCACTAAGCCTGCTATATAGATTCCTAATCCCTATGAGAGTAGGACAATGGACTTTACAGACAGTCAGAGCACAGCGAGGCTGGAAGAAGATTGAGAGTGGAACCTCGATTCTGGAATTCCCTCTCACCTTTTCTACTCCAAATGTGCTGACGAGTCCAGTTAAACCAACATGGATGGGAAAGTAAGGAGCAATGTGACATTCCCTGGCACCAGATGTTGCCAGGGGTGCCTTTGAGAGACATTCCTGGGGGGATTTCATACCTTCAGGGTGCCCTTGTGTTCCAAACATCTCTACTCTCTGCAGAGAACAAACTGAGGTGTGTTAGGGGCCAACCCCTTGACTGCTGGCACCTCAGCCTTACCTGTCTCACATAGGTCTTGCTAGCCCTTAGTAGGGGGGATTTGCTAGCTAGAAGTATATGCTCAGAAAAGATACATTTCCCATGTCCCTGGCAGAGGCCTGCCTGTATGGTCAAATACTTTGAAATCATACTTACCCTCAAAATAAGTAAATTAAAATGATAGAAAATAATTCATATAAAAACAAGAGTAAACATAAGAAACCAGTCATTGTTATATGAGATACAGGCAGAAATATAAGAAGAATAAAGAAAAGGAAATATCGGGACAGTAATCTGAACAAATTTTCTATTTGGCTTACTAGCTGAGGAACCAAAGCACCATCTGCCCTAGAAGCATTAAGATAAATGCTTGCTCTCAAGGCAAAGTTTATGTATGGTTCCTTATATGTCATTTACATACATCACCTAGTGGATTCTTGGGGAGGCCACAATATGCACAAAGCCTCCTGCATGTTTAGGAGACTAAAAGACTTTCCTGATCCAAGTAGAAACTGGAGAATATTTGCATCTTTGCATGAGTATAAGTAATCCAAAATTGTAAAAATACTGTTTCTCTCTACATTTCCCCACTGTGGGAAATGTCTTTCCTCCAGTGGTCTGAATAGCCAGGTGACATTCTTACAGGTTC